GAGGCCCTGGGCAACCTGGTCTAGTTGGGGGTGTCCCGGCTGACTGCGGGGGGGTCGGACTAGATGGCCTTTGGAGGTCCCTTCCGGCCTGGACCATTCTATGATTCTATGGGTGAGCCAGCCAGGAACCAGTCACCACCTCTCCCAAGTGTATGGCTGCTCCCTGCCTCTCCTGCATCACAGGGACAGAGGGTTTTCAGAAAAGCCATCTCAGCAATTACTTACGCCCACAGTACGCGTGGAAACAAACGCTGGGCTTGGTTAAGTGATACACGTAGTACCCCCCCGGACAGGCCTTGACGTCAATGGTGGTATTCCAAAGGCAGCAGTTCCCATTGAAGCTGGCACAGGCCTGGCGTGGGACGATGCCATCTGACTCTCGCGGGTGGCTGCCGTTCAGCCAGATGGGAGCATGGGTGCCGCAGTGGTTCTCCGGGATGCAGAAGGTAGGCATGGCATCACCAGCCATGCCAGTGAAGCGATACCATTCCCCGTCAATTTGACTGTCGCAGGTTGGCTGGCCATGGGAACCGTTTATCTGATGATCCGTGTTCCTCCAGGGCTCGTTCAGGCTGATGTAGGCAGAGCAGGGGTCCAGGGCTGAGACATGCAGCGAGACACAAGAGAGAACATCTGGTAGATATCAAATCAAGTTGTTGACTGGTAATCGCAAGGAATGCAAGATAATTTCTTTTTCTACCCTATCTGGTAGATATCAAATCAAGTTGTTGACTGATAATTGCAAGGAATGCAAGATAATTTATTTTTCTACTCCTGACTTAACCGAATCATCGTGATAGAGATCCCCAGGGGGAAATGGCGATGCCAGCTAACTAACTGCTTCATGGAAAATTCTGACAGCTCAACTTAAAGGTCTTGAAAGAAAAAGTAAATTAACAGAGCTCTTACAACATTATGCAACAGTCCGACATGCTGTTTAGCTGCTGTAGAGTACAACAGGGGAAAAAAAAGTAATATGAATAAACTTGAGGTCCAGGGAGTGATTTTGCCATAGGAAATACATCCTGGGAGCACTGGATCAAACCCAGGACATCCATCCACCCTTTGGTGATGTGCTAACTGAGCACCTGCAAGCTCCTCCTGAAGTGACCAGTAACCCTCCACGATGTCTTGGGGAAGAGGATCAGACTTCAAACAAGTTAAGCATCCTCTCTAAAAATCCATAGCCCACGTCAGCCCTCGCGGCTGAGTCGCCATAACCACAAGCCAGACATCACCTTGCAAAGCATCAGTTAAAACATGAACTGTAAGATAAGCAACAGAAAAGCTACATTTACAGTGTACAGAAAGAAAAGATTCCACTTCAATTATTAGACCTCTATATAATGGTAATTATAGGGCATAATTTGTCAGTTCCTACTCACTTCAGGATACAAGTTTAAACAGCTAAATATAAGAACTGCTATCCCAAGTCATAATAAAATAGATCTATAGCCCAGCAGGCTGTCTCTAACCAAGAGTGCATGCTTAGAGTGGTGAGAGAGGAGAAAGAGACCCTGCTCTGTTTGCCAGGAGTTTTGTTCTCCACTGGCTCTCCTACAGCTATGTTCATTTATGCCAAGGTGAGTTGAAAGAGCTGTAACTCAAATTCATGCATTCAGTAAAATTCTGTAATGGGGCAAGAGAGAAAGGTGGCAGCCCCTTGTATTTACAGATCTACTCAGACATGCCCTGCTCTCCTTTACAGACTGTCCCTCATCTCCCTCTCTGCCAAATGCTAACCACCTCCACGATTCACAGTATGCATTGTGGTTTTAGGAGACGTTGCCACCTCCGTGCATCTGAAACAGCTTCCTGAAATCTTTTTATTTATTATCTTAAAATCTAGGAGACCTTGGAGGTCGGAATCAGGATGTTCTGGGGAGCAAAACATCCAGTTCTTTACGCAGTCATGTTCCTTGCAAGCCCACAAACCCTCCTGATCTCCACAGGAGATCAGATGTTTGTGAGTGAAGCGAGTGTTTATGAGGGCAAGATATAAACACAAGGACCTCCCGGTATGTGCATGTCTGTTCGTGCAGTGCTCAAAGAGCGTGTCCCTTTTCAGAGGCCTTTCTGAACCCTCTGCAAACAATTAAAACATAAAAATACCACAGGGAGACAAAAAATGAAGAACTGAAGCGTTCATTACATTTTCAGTCTTCTCCTAATTAACCCCAATTTGGCAGCTTCCTCACTAAAAGTCCAGAGGTTTCATTTTCACTTACATCCAATACGTGATTAAGCACCACTTACCCGAGACTAGCTATTCCCTATTAAGCAAAATGAATGCTAATACTGTCCTGAATAAGGAGAATTGATTGCCATTTGCTAGAATTAGGCTAATAAAACCAATCATTCTGATTAAATGCATCTCAGACTGGAATACCCTGTACTTCCTACACAATGTTTTATTTTTATTGAAGTTCTAAAATTACTTTCTCTGTTTATTTTGTTTAAACAATAGACCGATGCAATTTGGATGGGGGGAGATATTATATTGCTTCTATTAGAATGCTCCGGATGCAGACAAACCTTCTCGGTTCATTATTTGGATTTGCTTCACTGCCTTTGAAGTGGGAACTACAAGTGCTTCAGAGAATGGACTTCAAGTCACCCTTATTTAGCTGCAACCTCTGTAAATACCTGTCTCGCTGACATGCTATCTTGTACCTCCTCACAAACACAACAACTCTCTTGACAAACACCCTTGTGACATCCTCAGCCATCGGCATGTTTTGTTTGGTCCCGACTCCAGCATAAAAGGCAGGAGCAGCTGATGTAGTCCTCAGTAAGAGTGCTGCAGAGCTGCAAGCTGGCAGAGGAAGGTCTGGGTTACAAAGGGAATCTCTAGTGCCACAATTCATGAGACAGACAGAGAAGCAGATTCACCCCCCACCACAACAAGCCCTTCATTCTCCTGAGCAGCAGAGGGAAAACCACAGCAGGAAATCTCTGATGAGATTCACCAGATCCCTTGTAAGCTCTCAATTTCACCTGCCTGTCCTTTCCTCCCCTTGCCCACAGACAGCAGCATTGTTAAATCCCATTCTCCAAAAGCTTGGAGGACTTCTTGCAATAGGCAAAGATGGGTCCTGCCTTTATTTTGCACCCAGCTGAAGAGAGCTTCCTCTGGGCTTCCCTTAGTTTAACTCACTCGGTTTCCACAAGATGATTTGGTCTGGCCTTAGGGTGAGTCATTGACTAAGATTAAAAGGTTTTTCTGTTGTTAAAAGCCAAATGAGGCGAAGCGAGGAATGCCCTGTCAGCTTCCCAGCTGGGGAGCACCAAAAATACACACGCTCTCATTAGCTTTCATATAGTATAATTAACTTTATGAAATATCCTTTGTAGACAGACTCTGCAAATGATCATCTAGGGAGATCACATTGTCTCCTAAACATGTAGAAGATAATTTAGAGACACAATTTACAGAGATGAATACGCAGCGTCTCAGAGGGAGCTGGAAGAAGGGGAGCAAGGGAACAGGGCAGCACACCCTCCCACCTTTCAGTTCTCTGAGAGCTTCAGGCAGGAGTGAAGAGGAGGCAGACAAGCAGAAAAACCAGACAGTGCTCCTTCAAACACTGCAGAGCTTCACGGCCACCCTCGGACTGCCAGGGCTGCCCCAAACCAACCTCCCTGCAGACACCAAGCAAGCAGCCTTTGGCAGCACAGTTTACTGAAAACTAATTCAGTTTCTAAGGAAAAAAACATCACAAAAATACAGAAGCAACTAATCAACCTCTCATCTCTTCTCCCCAAACGACCAAAGCATGGGGGTTTTGCACAAGACATATACCTGTCTCCAACTCCCTCTGGTTTTCATTTTTCTTAGCTCAATTTTTTCCTCCCCAACACTTCCTGCATGGCCTGAGCAATTCAGCCTGACAAGCATTAGCTATGAAGTGAAGCTTTTCAATTTGTAATCTTGATGATATCATTAGTTCTCTACCTGCCATGCTAGCATATATATTGGATGACAAATCAGGCTCTAGCGAGCATTCATAAGCCCACCACTCTGCAGAGAGATTAATCCTCTGTGTATTGTGTAACTAGAGGTCTCTGCTGTGGCAGGACTAAGCAATGAAATGAGCAGCACTGCATTATGACACTCAATTCAGTTAGGATTTGTCGAAGAAGCAGGTGAAAAAGTAGCATAATATTTACTCTTAGAGTCTTTCCTCCAAAGGGAGAGGAAAATCTCACAGTGCCTTGGCAGCAGAGATTCTCCCAATGTGGGAGGCTTCACGCTCTGTAACAGAAAGATCTTTCCAATTGGAAAGAATTTCATCCCACCTTCAAAGCAAAAGGGTATTTCTCATGTCTTTCAGTCTTTCACCTAAGAATACCAAGGCTCAGCATGAACCTTAAAGGTAGAAAACAGGAATAAGCTTGAAGTTGATGCCTCTACTCACCCATCGAAGACACTGGCTGCAACTGGATGATGAAGCAGATACAGAAAAACAAGTACTGGAACATTCCACTCAGCCAAGGAACAGTTACCCCTCAAGGAACAGTTACCCCTCAAGGAACAGAGGCCTGAAAGCCCTTGCACACACTGTGGCTCTTGCAGCCTTCCTCTCGGTTGGAGCTTCTGACCTCAAGCTTTCTGAAGAGCAAGTGTGATAGCTCTCCTGGAAGTTTATCAGAGGAAGAAGCTGAAGGGATGTGAGGTACAGCTCCAGCCTTGACCTCCACAGAGCAGTTCTGCCCCTTATTGACAACAGAGATGTACAGACTGATCAATCTTCTTTTTTTGGACTCAACCCGCTATTGTTTTCTGGCCTGACCGCCCCATAGTGACACCTCCACTATCTTATCTGGAGAAGAATTCTAACTAGGGACACCCGGACATCCCGAAGGAATGGAAAAGAAGAACAGATGGGTGCTTGTTGTTATCTCTGCTCCTTCCACAAGTCATATGACTTCATGGCTCCCTACAGGCAGAAAACACCAGCTAGAGCGGCTTAACTGCCGGAAATAGTGGCCAAAGGAAGAGAACCAATCCTTCCGAGCAGAGATTGCAGATGAGTGCGTGGAGCAGAGCTACAATGGGAACATCAGTCAAAGTAAAAGACTGATGATCCACAGGGAAATAAACTATTCCTATGCTACACAAAGACCCTTTCCATTCCTGGTCCCACAACCTGACCATAGCAACGAAATTATCAAACAAGGCAAATAAAGACATTTTTCTGTAGTAGTCTTATCTTTTTTTTTTAAATGCTACACAAAGACCCTTTCCATTCCTGGTCACACAACCTGACCATAGCAGCGAAATTATCAAACGAGGCAAATAAAGACATTTTTCTGCAGTAGTCTTATCTGTCTTTTTTTTTAAAAAAACCCCAAAACCCAAACCCACAACCAAGAAACCCAACAGTACTGAATTAACTTCCATATCAAACTGAGCAATTAGGAACTTCTACCTTACTGTTTCAAACCAAGCTATGTGGAGTTGTGGGTCATAACTACAAGTGCTGACTATAGATGAGATGTAGCACCCTGAATCTCTTCTCTACCAAGCACCATGACAGGCACTGAAAGATATCAAGGACAACATGAATAAGCAGAAAGGGATCTTCCCTCTCATCCCACTAGCCATAGCTCTTATTATAGACAATAGATTTAAAACTCTGGTTTTAACATATACGTACATATACACATCTACAGGTCCCTGCCTGTTTATGAACAACGGTCACACTCCAGGAAATCATCTGGATTTCTGGCAGGCAGAAAACTCTCCATCAGCAAAGCATAGCTCTTATTATAGACAATAGATTTAAAACTCTGGTTTTAACATATACGTACATATACACATCTACAGGTCCCTGCCTGCTTATGAACAACGGTCACACTCCAGGAAATCATCTGGATCACAGAATCATCTAGGTTGGAAGGGACCTTCAAGATCATCTAGTCCAACCATCAACCTAACTGACAAAAAAAACCATCACTAAACCATCAGTAGGAAAAAAGTAGCTATTTTATTTTCACATCCAGTTTGCGTGAGACAAAGGGTTGGGTATTTGCCTGCTTTGTAGAGATGGTACGTTACAGAAAGTTCTCTACAGCCTCTCTGTTGGGGTGTTCCCTTGGCGGTGAAGTGTTGCCCCGTTCCACCCCAACAGAGCAGACATTTTCAGTGGTGAAAACTCTGACCAAAAAACCATCACTAAACCATCACTACAGTAATTGCACAATCAAGCAAATGTAGGCATTTCCCTGTTCCCTCTGCACCCTGCATTTCTGCAGGAGGCTGGCCTGAGGGATAGCATCAAGGTTGATGTGCAAGCTTCAAACCTAGCAGTAGGAAAAAAGTAGCTATTTTATTTTCACATCCAGTTTGCGTGAGACAAAGGGTTGGGTATTTGCCTGCTTTGTAGAGATGGTACGTTACAGAAAGTTCTCTACAGCCTCTCTGTTGGGGTGTTCCCTTGGCGGTGAAGTGTTGCCCCGTTCCACCCCAACAGAGCAGACATTTTCAGTGGTGAATGACTCTAGAGAACAACAAAGGAAGCTTTATAAATGACTATCATTGCTCACACCACCACAAATTAAGAAAAAATATCTTTGTGGCTATGTTGTGCTGACGGCTACACAGTACCAGAAAAGTTTCTTCAACAACAGGAAAAGCTAGCAAGGCAGATAACCCTCAAAAGGTGGTTATGTAAATTCCCTGAAGAGAAACTAAAATTGAACAGAGAATAATACAGCAAGCCACAGGAAGTTATATTGTGCTATTTTCATTGAGAGTTTGATTCATACATAAGATCCTCGGTAAATAAAACCGACGAGCTTCAATTGAATTTTCTATTTGTGTTAGAGGTGTGTATATTTCTCTGAACCATTTCATTACCAACTGCTTTCATTTTTGTAGGTGGTAGATTAGGTCTGACTCTAGTAATGTTTTGACAGTTATATTTAAGTGAGTGACAACTGACAATTAAGGTAAGGAAATAAACTACATCACAGCATTTTTGAGCCTCAAAGGTGTCACAAACAGGCCCTATCAAGTACTCCAAAAGGGATTAAAGCAGGAAATGCCCCAGCATTCCCAGAGATGATGCTATTCCCAAATCCCTGTAACTATCTAGTTCAAAGAAAAGTCTAAAGCTGGAAAAGACTCAGCGTGCTGCCTCTCAACATTTTTGGGATCCAGAGGAAAAGACAGTCTTCCAGAAGAGGCACCAGTAGAAGCAGTTCTTCTGTCAGGACTTTTTGTTTTGCAAGCTATTTTAGGAGACACATAGCTCCAGTTTCCCCACAACCAACCATAGTTTGTATTAGAGTAGGTCACTGCAAATCTATGCCTCAGGGAGGTAAAGTTATTATTCCTGTGAGGGGAAAGGGAGGAAAAAAAAGCCCCAAACCCAAAAACCCCTCCTACAAACAGACCCTCTGGGAGAGAGGCTATAACTCCAATGGAGTACCCTAGATGCTGTAGGGCCTGCACTCTCTAGACAGATCTGATAAATCCATTGTTCCTGACCTCTACTTCCCCAACCCAAAGATGAGCAAGCCCGACTTCCCAAAAAGCAAGAAGAATCAGGAATCAAGTTAATATTTCTTAAAAGTATTCATCAGTATGGGTTAAAAGATACAAAGAGAGAAAGCAATATTAAAATAGAGGGCTGAGATTTTATTTTGGTAACCCAAGAGATGGAATCTTCTAAACTTGCTGTTGTCTAAGTCTAGGTATGTCTGTTCTTAATGCAAAAAAGGAAGGTAAACACCCACACTTCTCTCTCCTTCCAGAGATTTGGAGGGCTTTACCATCCTTACACAAGGAACTCAAATGATGCTTTGGTGTTTGCTGAAGCCGGCCTTGTCTTTGTCAAGAGTCATCTCTCAAGACACACCAACGTCTGATGAAAGTGAGGTGTGTGAAGAACAGCCCTTAGTGCCCAGAAGGAGCAGGAGGAAGAGCTAATCAGCATTTCCTGTCGCTGAGAGAGAGGAGAACCCGACACACGCGACAGGATCCCTGTGTGCAATTGATTTGAGGATGTAGGTTCACAATGAGCCTTGACAGGCTGCTGAGACGGATTGCGTGAATGTCAAGGACTTCGAGATAGGCCTTCTTTCTGTAAACAACTTGTTCCAGGACATGGTGCCAATGGGAAGGGCTGCTGAGATCAGGGAGTGAACACGAGTTTGAAGAATGAGCAATCTCAACACAAGAACAAGTAAAACACCATTTAAATCAGACAAGTATATAATTCCTAGTGAAGTGTACCAGTTATTTCCTTTCCCTTAGTGCAGCCCTGTGATGCAGAATGCGGTGTTTTGAGAGTGTTTTTCCACAGGTCCTCCATAACCCAGTGAATTTTCCATGATCCTCAGTTTCTAGATGGAGGAACTGGGGCACAGACAGCAGACCCACAATTGCAAAACTAGTGAGGGGCAGAAACAGTAGTAGGAACCCTGTTTTACAAGTTCACAGAGCCACAATGAGACAGCATAACACCAGCTTCTCCCATACTTTAAAGCTTGGATACACTGCAAGTTTGATTTTCATTCCTGTATTTTACTTTTTACCCCTCAAATATCAGTATAGAAATGAAATTGATTTTTTTTTTTTTTTTTCAAAGGGAATAATTGGAATCTCTTGGGATAGGTAGAAAAATACTTAAGATATAAAAATCTCCTTCTTAGGTGAAAATCAAGTCATACAATGTGGCACAGAGGAAAGCAGCGAGGAGCATTTACAACTCCACACAAAAAACACAGAGATCAAAGAAATTGTTCCACTGGCTCAGAAAGACAGGGCAACTTGGGCAGCTTCACCTGATTGACACAGTGCCAAGGTCTGACAGCCAGCAGCAGCTTCAGAGCATCACACAAACCCTCTTAGAGACAATGCGGAGGTGTAAGAACTTGCAGCAAGGGGATCATCATCACTGCCTGCAAGGTCGGAATGGTTACAGGGGAAAAGAAAAAGGGTTTCTTCTTTGCCCTTCAGGAAAAAGAAGCCATGAACACCTCCCCCGGAGAGGCTTGCAGGGCAGAGCCTCACAGGTGTAGCAAAAAGGGAACTTAATGCATTTAGAATCATAGAATCGTCCAGGTTGGAAGGGACCTTTAAGATCATCTAATCCAACCATCAACCTAACTCTGATAAAAACCAGCACTAAACCCTGTCTGTAGGCAATTCCTCCAGACATTTCTCCAGCCAATTTTGAATTTGACATGTATTTATTTGAAAGCTCCCTCCCAGCAAAAGGAGGGAACAGAGGTTAACCAAATGAATAATAAATCTGGTAGAAAAAGCAGCATCTGGACACTGCAATGCACACTGTTGTTTATCCTTCATAGGCTCTTAAGAATGCAGTGTTACATTAAGATTCAGGCAGCACTGCCTGCTCCAAAGTGCTGTCAGTGGGACAGGACCCTATTACCTGCCTGGCTCTGAAGCATGAAATAGTCACTGCAAGAGAGTTTGTTGATGTTGATATATAACAGTGTCTATCAGGAGAGCAAACATCACACTTCCCTTCAATATTACCATTCAAGGGCAACAAAAGCAGAGGCACTGAGGAGGTTTGAGGCGTGTTATCCACCCCTGGCAGAGACCGTGTGTGCACTAGTGGTGCAGAGGAGTGAGACAGCCACCTTCTAGAGGTACAGACTAACAAGACCCAC